ATCTTATTCATGTAGACAGTAAACTATATATAGCTACTTATATAGTAAATACCCCAGCTCTGCCCAGCATMGAGGACTCTTTGAAGTAATTCCGCATGATACCAGATAAACAGTAAAAATAAATTGAGCTAATAGATTAAACATCAAGGCAAATGAAGCAATTCTAACAAAACAAAGAGTGAACAAATAAAGTTAAGCTTTATTTTCGAGATTGAGACAGTCATGCTAAGATTGTACACATGTACCACAATTGATAAATTAAATATAACATGCGGATAAATCTTTTGAGGTTTGTTAATATAAACCCAGAGTATCATAATGAAAAGCTATGAACAGAGTGAAGTCATCACACCCGTGAAACACAATTTGACTATTAAAGTCACTATTAAAGTGTRATAGTGAAACAGAAACAAAAAGAAAATCGTATTAAGGTAAGTTAGTGTAAAATCCATTTCACGGTTTTTTTTACTTCACTCTAGTTGCTACAGGATCTTATAGCAGAGTTCCGGTCGATATTTATTAATAGAGAGGCAAACGCCGAACGGCAGAAAAGATCACGTGACCTGCTTTTTTTGACTTTAACGTTGCAGTTTCAACGCGAGAACGGGTTAGTTTGAGGTTGCCATGATAGTGAAAAGCCGCTCTTTCAAATGACTACCAAAAGCGCAAGGTCGGGCACGAAATTCTTAGGTCATTGGTTCAGCTCTGCCGTTAGCCGTCAACGTGATGCTAAAACTCTCTAATAGTACTTGAAGTACACCTCAGGTACAAATAACACTAACTTGACCCATCAAGTTACATCTATAATTAGACTGATTTCCAAAAATTTAAWAAAAGGAAATAGGAATCTTAATCATTTGAACTACAGTCATTTTCAAAAATATTTCTGACCTCTGACATATATCTATTATATCTACCTTATATCAATTTATTGACCGTTTATCTAATGTATCATAATAAAAAAGGCTTTAAAGATGTTCAATAATGAATCAATAAAATTGTTGCTTTTTTTATTTCATTTCACTGCATTTTGGCCCATCACATCAAATAGATATGCCATCTTCCACATGGGYCCCATGGTAAAYACCTGAAGACGATCATTYCTCCAATCAGTGACGATTACTTTATCATCACCAAGAACAGCGACAGCTAAAGGATTCGAAAACTGTCCAATATTTGTGCCTTTGGATCCATACGAGCTCATTGGCTTTCGATCTTTAAGATTGAAAAATTGCATTCTATGATTATCAAAATCGCAAACCATAAGCCGTTGCTCGCTGTCTACCGCAAGGCCACGTGGGCTATAAAGTTCACCCTTCTTGCTTCCTGCTTTKCCTATGGTGTTGAGGTAGTTKCCCTTCTTGTCAAACGTTTTCAGTACGTTGTTCCCGGTATCAGAGACAACAAAAACGTTTTGAGACTCACAGAAAATGGCGTCGCGTGGATGTTTCAGTTTCTCAGGAATATCATTGCCAAAACTGAAAAGAAACTTTGCTTCGGCATTGAATACTTGTATTCTGTGGTTCATCCAGTCCGTGATTATTATCCGACCATTCTTGTCAACGGCCACTCCTGTTGGYTTGTTGAAYTGACCATTACCTGACCCAAATGTTCCAAACTTTTTCACTAGTTTTCCAGATTTCCTGCTAAAAGTCTGGATTCTGTTGTTATCCCTATCAGCTACAATAAGGTACTTCTGCGATTTATCAAAGGCGATTCCRGCCGGGTAGTTGAGCTGTCCATCTTCCGATCCATATTCCCCAATATCCAAAAGCTTTTTCCATTCCTTATCAAAAAGGTGAATGCAATTTTTTTTGGTGTCTGTGAATGCGATTTCGCCTTTGTCACTCACTGCTACCCCRTGAGGCTGCGTGACTAGCCCAACTCCTCCAGTATTGGTTCCAAAATCCTTTAAGGGCATCAAAATTGGAGGGCGAATGACAACATGGAAAGGACTACCTTTGATCGCTTTATTGTTGACTTGGATGTCCACGTCGTATTTTCCAGGTTTAGTTGGAAGAAAATAGACCTCGTAGAAGCCGTTCTCATTATTTTTGATCCGCGATTCCACTTGGGTTCGTTCTGGGGACGTAATATTGATATTCAAGACATCAATATTGCTATAGCAAGGTTCRCCTTTGATGTCAAATGTTGTCACGGTAAACATTGTTTCTTCTCCAACAGCTCCGTCTCGAACTAGACCMTCACCTGAAGTGACAGTAGATAGYGGATCAGTGTTACTGGAAGCAATTTGTCCAAGAACACTTGAATTAATGTGACGGATTACATCTTTGTTTGGGATGTAACCCACACTTGCGCTCTCGACTGGCCTAGCATCCACTTTKGTTGAGCCAGACAACTGTTCTAGCCGGTTCTCGACGTATTCTCTGAGAGTCACRATTTCCCCTGAGATTTTTCTTTTCAGCATATCTTGAGCAAAGTCMATGGAACTGGTAACTTGTATGAGGGATAGAATGAAAGTCTCTTGTTGTGCATTTAGATTTTCTTTCTTCTCTTCACGAACGTCATCAAGGTGTTGGAACATTTCTTTCTCGTGYTGTTTAAGTAATGCCACCAGTTTTTCAATCCCAGCGTGAACYTCTTTCTTGACAATAWCTACTTGCTCATCAAGTTCGTTTAGTCGCTGTTGAATAAGATTCTTGCCATCTTTGATTTCTTTGGCACGCTTAATGACCTTATCGAGATAAATTTCTATGTTTTTACAGGCAATATCACATTCCCCTGTCAAAGGAGAAATCTTGTTGTGGTTATTCTCTGATACTGTACTGCACTCTTTACATATGCACTTATGGCAGTGTCGACAATATATTTCTACGGGAGAATGTCTTTGCTCGGCCGAGTCATGACCGCACAACAGTGGTCGACAGATTATCMTATTCTSATCATGCTGGCTAAGATCTTCTTTCTTCACAATTCGATGTCCACGGCTGTCAGAATTATGACATGAGGAACACTTTTGACAGAAAAATGATTCACAATKGAAGCAGTACGAAAATAATTCTGTTTTCTTTCCGCATTTCCTGCATAATGTATCGTTATTTTCTGTATTTGGAGAGTAAAGCTGTAGCARACGTCTGGTATATATGTCAGATGGATAGGTTGAGAAGCCTTTTGCACTCGCTGAAGGTTTCGGTATTTCGGATTTACAAACAGGGCATTCGATRTGAGATGAATACGGATTCTCTTGTCCAATTCTGTTCAGACATTCAAGGCACAAGGTGTGTAAACAAGGAGTCAGTCTTGGATCATTGTATACTCGCTTACATGACCGGCAAGTGATTCTCGATTCCATTTTTGAAGCGCAGATCGACGAAACTACGTCTTGTACAAATGTATAAACAAGCTATTTGGCCAAGCCTATAATCTGAATTGAGAATTCTGGGTACAATTRTATTGGAACTAAATTATTTCTCTACCTTATGACGAATGAATTACGCCAAGCGGAAATGAGTGCAGAGGAGTTTTGAATAAATTCCCCCGAACATCCGTCAGATGACTAAATTATACAGACAATATCTCACTCATGACTTTTTATTGTTKGGACTTTCCTGAATGAATCAGCTTTCGAACTTCCAAACACAAAAAGAAATTCATACCAAAAAAATGAGTGAAATTTCAATAAATTTCACTTTCGACCAAAAACCACACTCGAGTTTGTTATGTGCTATCCTCTTTCATAAAATAGTGAATTTTCTTCTTTTTCAATTATTTCCGCACAAGACCTATGGTAGAAAATTCATACAGTCGACTGAGAAACTAGTGTGATATACAAGGTGAAGCTATTATCACCAAAATTCATATTCATTTATGCTTACATATATYAATTTTCATAAAAATACAAAACTGTGCAAAATTTACATAGGAACATTTCAGGTAAGAAATATTTGGACAAAAATACTTGGCCTAGAAATATTGTCCAATTATATCATTACTTTGCCGGTTAAAATGGCTCTATTATGYTAGGCTATTGATTTTGAATGGCTGATGAGTATAGCTTGCACTTAGGTGTAACATAATCAAATTTCTTTGAATATGGTTTACCGCATATCGAAAACGAATACTAAAACGAAACAGCGTTGGATAAAACGAGCGATTATTCGGTGTTACATCTGGTCGCTATAGTCTATTCGAGATCTGAAGACAAACAATCCTAAAAAGATGATCATTGAACCAACAAACCCACTGGCGATGAATGAACTTAGAATGAAAATTGTACATACATAACTGTTTACTTCTGGCAAGTGTTTGTCAACAAATATTTTGAGTTCCATCGATCTCTCACACGATGAATGAAGTATTTTTTAAATAAATGACAATTTTGTGATGAAGGGATTCGACATGCGTGACACATSACAACAAAAGCGATTAGGTAGTACTTATGCTAAATACCTTCCATAATGTTAATAGCTCTATTGTTTATATAAACGCTGCATAATTTTTACAGTATATTTGTACAACAAAGGTTTCTGTAAATTTCACAAGTCAAGAAAGAGTGTTTTGAATGAGTCCTTGACAAGTTTTGCCACGTGTAAGTGTAACAAAAACCTCGRTGGATCTGAAGGGTTGAGGGCAAGATATGCTAATGTCAGTGCCTTCTTTGTGAGATTCTCCTCGCCTGGTTGGTTTAGAAACCCTACTGATTTCATATAGCGTCGTTTATATAGACATGGACATCCAAAGCCTATTGGAAAACTTAGAAGAACTTCTTACCTGCCGACACTGTTCCAATATCTTCAGGAAGCCTAAGATAACACCATGTTTACACTCATTTTGTTGTGAGTGCTTGAATGAAATTGCCAGCAGTCGGCCATATCAAGGATTCATCGAGTGTCCAGTTTGCCAGTATGAAATCAAAAAGCCAGAAGGAGGTCGCTTTGAATCGCTTCCTTCTAGTTTCTTTTTGCATCGTCTTTTGGATGTGTTTGTGGCAAAAAGAAGGAGCTACTCTGATGCAAGCTGTGGCAATTGCCATCGGAACCTGGTTCTCAGTTCGTTCTGTTTTAGTTGTAATGTGTTCATGTGTGAAGAGTGTTTCAGTGCCCATCATGTTATCACRAGAAACAATGCRCACAGGACGGTTGCTCTAGGAAGGCTGAAACAGAAAGACTACGAAGAACTCTTTCGAAGGTCCACTTTTTGTGCCCACAAGTTCAACGAAAARGGAATCGTCGAGTACTTTTGCTATGACTGCGATGCGTGTGTTTGTCACGTTTGTAATGTTGCCATTCAACACAAACATCAAATCGTAGACATCGACGAGGCTGCCAAAGACCAGAAGATGAAGCTCCGTGACGTGAACGCTAAGCTAAAGACAAAATTAAAATCGGTAGAACTCGGTATCAGTAATGTTGAATTCAGAAGTATCGAGGTGCAAGATCAAATCGATTACACAAAGAAAGAAATCCGATCTAAAATTGGTAACATGATTGACATCCTGAAGAAACACGAGGAAGACATGCTGCAAGAGGTCGAACGAATTCGTAAAGACAAACAAGAAAATTTGACCTTCCAGCTCAAAATGTACGAAACAATGCATAAACAAACAAAAAGCTCTATTGAATTTACCGAAGGACTTATCGAAAGGAACCTCAGCGAAGAGATATTGACAATCAAGAACCACGTGCTGGAAAGGGCAAGAGCTATCAACTCCACTTACGTAGGGACAAATCCTGCAGAGAACGAGCGAGTAGGTTATGTGGCTAACACCAAAGCTTTTGAAGCCATTCAAAAAGAGTTTCTTGGTCACATCAGTACAAGTCTAACGGAGCCTGCCGTTTGTAATGCTGAAGGCAATGGTATTATGGACGTATCCGCTGGAGAAGAAGTGTACTTTACGGTGACAACGCGCAACGCACAGGGGGAGGTCTACTATAGCGAAATCGATCATGTCGTCGCGGCGGTGAAATCCGATTTGTGGGGAGATATCGAGGCATCTGTAAAAAACTACCAGGACGGWAGGTACGAAGTAAGCTACATCCCAAGAGTGCCTGGAAATCACAAAATCCAGGTAGAAGTTAGCGGAGAGCATATAGATGGAAGTCCGTTTGTTGTCTCTGTCAAGCAACCAGTATTAACACCAGTCAAATCATTTGGATCTCATGGCAAAAAGGCAGGAAGTCTTTTGCAGCCCCATGGTGTTGCAACTAATACTATTGGCCAGATTGTACTTTCTGACAGCCTCAAGCACCAAATACAAGTTTACACTTCAGATGGAACCCACATGCTTGACTTTGGGGAGGAAGGGTTCGACGATGGGCAGTTCATGCATCCAATGTCTATTGCATTTGATAACTCTGAACGTTTCCTCTTCGCTACGGACAGTGACAACAATAGGATCCAAGTATTTGATGTCAAAGCTGGACGGTTAGTCACTCATTATTTGAAATTTCTGAATAATTTATTGTGGTAATCCTGTGAATTGTTTCATTCATTTTACTGAAATCCCATTTATTCTCTCGATCAACCTTTCATTCATTTCCATTCATGATCCCCAATCAATCATTAGCATATTCATTGGTATTCTTTGCCATACACGTATCAGACGTATGGTTTCTGATAACAGCTATCTCACCAACAGGTTTTCCAGGAAGTTTGGGACAGAAGGGAATGGACCAGGACAGTTCAATGGACCATGTGGCATTAGCATAGATAACACTGACAGAGTGATTGTAACAGATTGGAGTAACCACAGGATCCAGGTATTCACCATCGAGGGCAAGTTTCTGTTCAAGTTTGGAGACAGGGGTAGTGACAGACTTGCTCATCCCAGATGTGCAATCTATCATGAGAAAGAAAACTGTTTTGTTGTTTCTGACACTGGGAACAATGTTCTCAAAGTGTTTGACTCCGATGGAAAATTCTCGCATATAATAGGACGACCAGGCCAGAAACGTGGTGAGCTTCGTGGACCGAGGGGACTTGCTATTGACAAGGATAAGAACATAGTTGTGTGCGATTTTGAGAATCATCGACTTCAATTTTTCAAAATTGATGGGACTGTTCTTAATTCCTTTGGCGCGAGAGGAAAGGGAATCGGTCAGTTTGCATTTCCACTAAGTGTATCAATAACTGGAGGAGGAGCAAGGGTTGTTGTCAGCGACTGGGGGAACAATAGAATACAAATCTTTAAATCTAGAGATGAAAACAGCTCTCCTAATCTCAAGTACAGTATTCCTAGCATAAGCAGAATGAGCACAAGTTAGGTTATTTTTGAATTAGAAATATATAAGAACTATTTTGAAATTTTACGGTGAAATATCACTTGCATAATTGCCCTGCCAGTACAATATGATTTCCTTGGAGTTGTCAATCATGGGCCTTTCGGAGATAGGATAAGACAGGAATCCCAACCCTTTTACTTCAAGCACCACAGGGTAACCATGAGGATAATTGATAAGAGATATCTCAAAATTATGCCTCATCGATCCTGAAATATAATTTTGAATACGATAATGTTACACTACATCACAATCTAGATTCTAGAGAAGCAAATAACTTGTTTGTTGCATGCTCGCAAGTCACTGATAATTTTGRAAAGAATTTTAGTCTGCATGAGAGATATTTTATGTAAAATTAAGCTTAAATAAAATCATCCAATTTTTTACAATTGTATTAGCAATTACTTGCCGCACAGCAGTGACTCTAAGGAGTTGACTTTATTTAAAGGTTCATAAGCATGTTTAGTTCAAATGACGTCAAATCAAATCCGGAATTTATTCTGCGTCATACTGCACAGGCTTTTCCGTAGATCCAGGAAGTTCCATAGATCACACTATGAGGACTACCTTGATGTTTTTATTTCAATATTCACATAAGGATATATCACGTCTGTGAGTCAAATGTATCCCTCTCTAGGTCGCCATGAACTATTGACGGAAGTATGCTTTTTGCGCGCGAGGGGGGGMTGACTAGCGACGAGTCAGCGGCAAGTTCATGTGAAGTTTTTTAATAGCACAGTTTTAGAGTTTTTACATTTCTTTTATTAAATTCAATCAACGGAAAAGATTTTATTTATTTACTTCTTCGTACTATGAACAAAACACAGAGAATTGTAAAATTGTCAAAGATTGTCGCCATTTTGATTTTGCAAATAACCAACATCACACAGGGTATTTTTTTTTTTGTTCTTGTTTGTAAGTTTTTTATGATTATATATATATATTATATTACCCGTCTAGACCCCATTCACACCTACAGCCTTGCGAAAACCTTGACCATCGAAAATATATCAATATATCAAGCTCATAGTCAGTAAACGAATAGTATTTTAAACAGTATGCCTACACTTTTCAGTTCTCTCACATTTGCCAGCTGTGCTTAGGTAATCCCTATCTAAACCTATCCAAATTTGAAAAGACAATGTGAACGCGACAGAGATTTTCATCCCGTGAAACAAAGTATAATTGTCAAAGTGTAAAAATGCATATTACACCGAAAAGGCATGGAAAACGCCCAATCAATAAATTGTATTACATTWAAGTGTATTTCCATGGCAACCGATATTGATATTTGGTCATGGACAAGACTTCAGCAAGTGACTGCAGAGAATAAAAAAATGTTCACAATTTATAAAAATGTCATTCAACTCTTGTTTTCGTAAGAATCTGGTTTATAAACTTTAGTATCAAGCATTTCGTCAACTTCTCTTTGTTCGATTGTGATTTGGTGAGCATGAGTCGACTTCCGGTCGCGCATTCTCTTCAGTTTAATCGATATCAATGCACAGACAATGAAAAGAACAATCGATCCGGCCACTAAACCGATAGCTGTTGGTACATTTCCTAAATCCTTTGAGCCTTCAATACCTTCTACCTTCGGGGTCTTTGCAGTAGTTGTTTTGTTTCCGTTGTTATCTGTAATTATTTTGGTATTAGAGGGTTCTTTGGATGATATATCGGTAATTAACTTGGCCTTTGGAGATGACTTTTTATGAGTCTCTGTTGGTGGAAGTGTAACCAGGATGCAACGCACATCATTAGGAGAACACTCGGTTGACTGTCTCAAATGTGTTGTAGGTTCTGTTGGTTTGTTTGTTGCTTTTCGGGTGGTCTTAAAAAGTGRTTTTGTCGTCGGCTTAGCAGTTTTTCTCTCCTCCCAGTTTCGTAGTCTGGAATCAGTGGTAGTAATGCGCGGTTGTGCGGTTGTAGATTGGGGAGTTGTAGAAAGAACTGGACAGTTCCACATAGTATTACCACGAATAATAAACCTAGAATCTTTTGCTTTCAACTTACTGATAAATTCAACGCCGTTAAACGCCACCCATCTTAGACATCCCTGAAATTGCTTACTAGATCCACCGTCACCTCCAACATATACCTTACCCTCCCCTCCATGCATGTTGAAAGTGCTATGGCTTGGCGGAGTTGTGCCTTCCACATCRCTGCCCTTGTCAAGGGAGACAGTCACCGTCCTTTTACTGCGCTTAATACTGAGCTCATGCCACAGGTTATCGTGGACCTTTTTATTTTGTACCATGAGCTTGAGCTGACCTGATCCTAGGTTCCAGTCCACCACAACCAARCCTTTGGAGAGTTGGATGGTGACGTAGTCGTTGCCAAAACTCGTCTTGAGAAGGATACCGTTTTTCTTTGAGGTTTTAAACTTGATRCGGATGGAATCGGATTTGGTCGCCGCYGGGTTACGGGACATGTCGTAGACTATGTAATCATTTCTTGCCAAATGAAGCTCTAGTATTTCTGTAAAGTGAAAAATGCGTTTAGAATGATAGCAACGTATAGACACACAAAAAATAGAGGAAAAAACTTATATGCTAATGATAYTTTTGTTATATTCACGTTACAGACATGGAGGTCCGAAAGACTGTCCAAGGCTGTTCTAATACAGTGAAGATAGAATTTTTTCAAGACCCCTCGTTAATTTTAAACTTTTATTTTTTTCAGATGTTTTTTTCACTAAATTTTGGCTTATAGGTACCCTGCGAGCAGAGTGTATTTCCTTACCTCAATAAAAATTCGCGAAGGAAAATAACATTATTTTCCTTCGCGAATTTTTATTGAGGTAAGGAAATACACTCTGCTCGCAGGGTAGCTTATAGGATAAGAGTAAAATAATTAAAAATCGCAAAATTCCTAGGATATTAAACCAAAAGAATAGATATAAAAGAATACGCCCAAACAAGCAAGGAATCAGTCAAAACAACAAGTTAAAAACAACAGAATAAAACAACAACAATACAAAACAATAACAACAAAAAGCAAAATAATTTCCAAAAAAGGCAAAACTAAAGCTTACATTATCTCTACTCTTCATGAGGCATTATGGCAATATGAACAAGTTAATACTGAATAAAATTTGACTTTTCCTTAGTTTTTAAGCGAGAATATTTTGRTCGGTTATTAGAACTACAGTTCTATTGCGTTACGCCGTCGATATTGAGCAATACCCAGGAAGAGTACAAACTGTAACTTTTATGACTCCTATGAACACTCTCTATCAGTACTTTTCAAAGAATGGGAAATACTTGACGTTAGTRCTATTGATATTTCACAGTATTTTCAAAAACGATAAACAAAAATTTCGACGTGATAAACYTGGACTTTGTTTTGAACACAACTTTTTATGGRTCATTAATTTKCATTGTTTGGACAAAARTCAYWGTTCTGGTAGCACTTTTACTAAAAGCGTTTTCCAGTAACAACCATTAAACCCGCTTAAMGAAATAGAGATATGTACTAGTTATGGTTAGTGACGGAAGACTGAAAAGTCCTCTGTGAAGGTCAAGGCTGAATTTGATACTTCACCTTATTTTCACAGCRTGAATGGCCGTCGACAGCCAAAGCTTTTTTTCACGATTGAAGGGTTCAAAAGATAATATGCTGCTAGTAAAACTTATTTGCAGTAAACAAAATGTCGTCCATATTGAATTTGAAGGACGTTTTATATATATAACTTAAAAATTCAKCCCGCAATCTGTCTTCAAGTTAATGATAAGGATTATAAACTTTGCATAACATATTGTCTTATCAAACAAAAGGAATTATTAATGAWCCTTCATTTCAACAACGAAATTCGGAATATTAATGATTTTTTAGATAATATATAGAAAAACGTACCTTTCTCACAGTTTTTTCCTTCAAACCCTGTACCACTGCAGTCACACTTTGCTTTTGAAAACCTATTAATGCACTTTCCATTGTTTAAACAAGGATTTCGAACTCGGCATTCGTTAAGACATCCACTCTTGGTGCCTTTTGACTTGATAAGAACAGCTCTTTCCAGGTTGTTTTCGTTATTTGTTATCATAAGTTTCTTTACACAGCCTACAAAACCCTTCTTGAAAGCTGCTCCCATCCAAGATAAGGATGATAAACTGAGAGAYCTTGGTAAACCCCCGACATAAAGAAAGCCCGAGGAACCTAGTAAAGCATTGTTTTTAGCTAAATTATTGGCAGTTTTTGTGAGGGATTTATCTAATGTAAGCGTGACGCGACTGTCGATATTTATCTTGACCACCAAGATGTGCCAGTTCATATCGTCAAGGTCTTGACCAATATCGACTCTAACAGAGTTTTTTATAGTACCAAAGGTASTTAGTATTTTTCCATTTTTGAGTTCTATGCTTAGATAATCAGATGTTCCATCGTCTTGATAAACAAGTAGAGAGTTCTTTAAGTGAGTCTTGAAGTGTAAAGACAGASTACCAACAACACCTCTAGAAGAACTTGAAGGCTGCCATTTGYGAAATTGYGCAAAGGATGACTTCGAACCGTCGAAAGTAATAGCACCAAAACAAAAAGACACTAACAGCAAGCACACGACAAGAAATAACGCTTTCATCTTGAAAATCCCGAGAATCTACGACAAAGAACTACTTGCCGTGCGGGCAATGTGTCACTGAATTTGTCTATGGTGTCACATGTTCAYTGGTGAAATAAGAGCTTATCTGGCGTTTCCGGTGTGCTATTGATATGACCACACTGAACTATCAAATCCACCGACTGAACAATACAACCAACCAGGTTGGATAATATACAGAGAGTGTTCAACTTGCAGGAAGGCAGATTTTCTACACGCGAACAGTTCACTGTATAAAAAAGAAACCGTGTGCATCAGTTCATCTTGATTGCCAAGAAATCTAAAGGTCAGGAATAGTGTCAGCACTGATGGCCCCAGGCAACGCTAAGCATCTTATGGTAATCTTACCAACATAAACTGGTTTGAGAAACAGGTTATGGTACCAATTAACCAATCACAAGACGACGCACAGTTAGCGAATTTGTCCATTTCATATGTCCATGTCTGACTTTGCATGTAAAAGCTGAATTGCATTTCCGAATGAGTTTCCGCTGTACTTCCTGTTATCTCTCTGTTGGTGCATGGGCAAATGTTCGGCATATCGTCTTTTTCATGTCTGACTTGGCAGTCTTTTCCCTGCGAACAGAGTGTTATTCACCAGTTACCTCAGTAAAAAAATGGCATTTTTTTACTTAGGTAAGGTAAGTAACACTCAGTTCGCAGGGTAGRCAGTCTTGAAAATGAGCTAAATGCTTCGAGGACTCTTCGAGATAGTGCCGTACTTGTTCCCCTTCGATAAACCATGATCGCATTTTATCATTTAGTTATCCATAAAAGCAGTGCCTGACTACACAGCCATTAAAATTATTTGAAAATAATAAGTTTCATTCTGATTTCACAAAATCGTCACAATTCCCAGCAACTCTCGCGCACTAATAAACTGTGCCTTCTTTGCTTCTTGTTTCGAAGACAAGCTTTTGTTTGTCTATTGTTCGTTTTTCCTCTTCATTTCCAGTTTTCTTGCTTTTTTTACGGCCCATAGTGCATTTGACTCTTGGGCTTCCTGTGGCTGCGCATAACCATATGCGCAGAAATTGTCGAAGCGGGTGATTCGAAATAAAAGATGGCGGGATAGATGATATGGATCSGATTTGACTTAGTTTTCAACGAATAAAACATTGTTATGCCGAAGGCAACAAGAAAAAATCGAAGTAARAAGAAGGATCTAAAGGAACAAGGTATTATTTTAAGGCTCTTTATTTGAAACTAACTCTGTTGAAGCAATCTTTTGACAGCATAACTCTAGCCTCTTCGTAAGCTTAAACGTGTACAAACAAACGAGTTTCTAACGTTTACAAAATCCACGTATTTCTTCCTTATATCTTGAAGTAGCCATGAAGAAAKGTATACATAGATAGTCGCTATCGTTTCTATGTATTTTTGATGTTATAAAGGACAACATAAGGAAAGCATTTTGTATGAAAGCTTGCCCAATTTGATGCGAAAATGTTCGTTGAAAATTACTGTACAAGGTTTATATTGGCTGTTGTTCTGCATTAAGGCCATACATACGATACTTTTCTTTTCATCTTCAGCTAACATGATATATGTGCACAAGGAATGCAACTGAAAAACAATTAAATAGTTGTCTTTGTGTCTGTRCAAGAATGCATTTTACATGTATGAATATTGACTTAGGATTATGATCGAAAAATTTTTCTTCGACTGAATCTTGACCTGCATTTGTAGTCTATTCATGGATTTTGATTTATTTTATTGATGCATTCTGTAGATGACACAGGCTCAGAGTCAGGGAAACTGTCAGAGACACAAGAAGTTGCTAAAAGATTGTCAAGGACAMGATTGGTACAAAATATTGAAAAAATTATTTTAATACTTAAAGCCCTAATCCTAGTAACTTTAGAAAACTTATCCATACTAGTAGTTCACCATACTAGTAGTTCACCTAAAGTACAGCTTAGATTTACCATTAAACCAAGCACGCATTATTAAACTCTTTTAGGGGAAAGAAAATACTTTAAAAAGAAGTCAATCAAAAGCTAATARGMAAGGTCCWGCTGATCCGTATGATGCAGATTCWGAGGTTGAGTCWGATGTCAATTCACAAACAGAAAACAGYGARATTAAAAATGRCACYCCTATGGTTATAGAGSCAKTTAACGAGGCTCCTATATCTTCAGTCCCTCGTGCGTTAAGGTCTAAATCATCAAAACTGTTTTACAATGAACAATCAACTCCCAGTATTGCAACTCCAGGAAGATCTGATGATTCTTTGTTCGGCTTTGGTTCAGCCCTTGAATCMCCTCTTCCTTTCTCTCCGGTAACAATGGCATCTCCTGCCCGCTCTGAAGCAAGTACAGGCAGTATGTTTTCAGTTTCATCGTCAACATTAATGTCACCTGGCAAAAGAAAACTTCAGTTGAGGATTTTTGATATGCCTGTTGAAAAGCCTTCAAAGAAAATGAAAAAGAAGAAAACATTTTACAACAAAGAGGTAAACTTTGCATGATTTGTACATTACTGCGATTCATTAAAAATAACTTTCTCTGTCAAGAACTTGTAAAGTGTTCAATTTTGAGAACTCTCCAACACAGTACGTTTTTAGCATTCACACAGGTTCTATTTTATATAAATATTTTCCATTCTTTATCTACATTTGATAACAATAAATGATTTTTTTTACATTTTTAGGCTGAAATTCAAGATGTCATAAATGAGTTCGAAGAAGTTGAAATGTTTAGCTTAAATATTGATAGCTAAGCTAAACATCTTCCTGTCACATRTTGTAAATATTGTTTTGTAAATATATAAATTGAGCAACATGTAAAGCTCATTCATACTTAGAGCTTTAGCTTTTGAGCATGGCCTTTATTATATACATTGTACAGTTGCCTTGTATAGCCTGCCACACACATATATTATAGAAAGATTTCACTCAAGCATTTTTCTCATTGCCTCGCAAAGCAAATTGCTTATTATTCGAGAGTATAAACTCATTTGTATTTCATCCTTACTCAGTACGTTGTTTGCTTTGCAAGGTAGTGAAAACACTGTTTGAGAGGAGTCTTCCTCAATGTGTGCAGCATGCTGTAGTTTATCAACAATACAAGGCTTTATTTTACAGTGTATATTGTATAATATAGTATTGCTTTAATACTAGTAATTTTCACAATGTATTTGGTATACATAACTCTTGTATTTGAATCATTATTATATGGATCTTTGATAAACGAAAGCCACCTATAGTGTAATACTGCAAATGYGAGACCATAGCATGATCATTGTAGGTTTAGCCTGATTATTGTAAGAACCAAAGGTAATTCCATGTACAAATATTCTTTTTAAATCTTCTTTCTTTGAGAAAAACAAGGCAAATATGTAAGATATATAAGGATTATTTAGCAATTCAATGGTGGCTTTTAGAAGTGTGAAACCAATGCATTGTACTGCAACTGTTTTATTTGTTTTTGACCTGTCAATCATATGGAAGGCAATTTATATGATTGGCTGACATTGGCATCAAATCAAACACTACAAGTTTGTCAAAAAACAAAGTTTAAGGTGTTCAATAATCTGTTATAATTAAAGATTACCTAATTGTACTTAACAGTAA